AACCTGCATGGCATGGCAGGGAGCGGCACTGGTGCGACTCATGAGAAATTTCTCCGGTAGCATGTGATGCATGGGCCCTACTACGTGCTGTAACGATGATATTAAATCACCCGCAACGAACTAATCTCATTATTTGAAGATAGGTAATTGCCCGTGCGTTGCAACGGGTCATACATAAACAATTTTGATTGTTCACAAAGAAAAGCAACGGGTCATACATAAACAATTTTGGTTGTTCACAAAGAAAAGCGTGAAGACCTTGCGAAACTTGATACACCTGCATATAGCAGCAACACAGGAAGATGTAAAATTTCAGAGATGAGGTTGAATATAGCAACAACAAAAAGAATTGGACATCAAGAAGCATAAAATGAGGCGCTGATGATTAGATTTATCTATTGCTGCAGATAGTGCGACAGTGTATTGCGACGACATGGTAGGCGCTCAACAGATGATGATGAAGTCCTCCGTGATCACCTCTTTGATCAGCGTGATGGAGAAGCCCCTCCTCGGTTCTGCCAACGGCGGGGCAGGCTACAGTGTCATGAGTGCTCGGTTGAAGCAGTTAAAAGGATATATAAGCACTATTCTGACCTAATCCTATCTTAAATAATAAATAGGAAAACAGTTAAATAGGCTAAGTAACAAATAGGAAAAACAAATAGGCTGGAGTGACAGGAGTGTGGGCACAAATGCACACGAATGGACCAGACGCATAATCCTATTGGTTACAGTGTTTTAGCTCCATGAAGTTTATCCCAAAACGCCATAATCAATACCTGAGAGCAGCCTGAAAATAAAAGAGATACATGTTTATTGCAAGATCCAAACAACCTAAACGACTTTGACGTTGATTCTCAGGGAAAAAAAGACTTTGACGATGAAACTACTGACCTGCTGCTATGCCTATTTTAAATTGACCTGCTGCAGAAGGCTGGTATCAAACTGAACATAGATGCAATTAAAAGGATAATTCGTTACAAATAACCTACTGGGATAAAATTTGGAACACGTGCCCATAGATGCTATCTTTAGTTCCAAGAGTACGTTTAGAATCATGCTAAATGTGGAGTGATCAGGGAAACACGGGCTCATGCTGACGACGAAGTTGGTATCAGATGGAGCATCTATGGATGCCTCTGACCTTGGAAGTCATCTCATCAAGGACACACTCCATTCACTCCATGCCTGATCTGGAGGTTGCGCGACAAGGAGGCCACCATTACTTGACGCAAGGGAAGAGAGCAGCTGACCAATACGAGGACTGGTAGAAGAGGCAGGTCCATGCCAAAGGATTGAATTTGCACCATCATGTTCCAGGCCGCCGCGGAGCACGCGCCCATGGTGAGACGACGTAGTGGGAGGACGCCGGGATTGCGCCGTCATGGGAAGGCGCCGGCACCGTGTAGGTCAGGCGCCGGTGGAACGCAGTGTGGCAAGGAAGGCAGGAAGAGGCGCGCTATTTGGACTATCTCTCACGTACGTCTGTCAATCAATCCCTTTCCAAATACCATTGTCTCCTGATTGTTTTATGGAAGGAAACGTGATTAGAGCGCCATGATCGTGTGCAAATAAATCGGCGGATCATTGACTAAAAACCTGTGTAAAAGAAATCAATGCGGGGAAGGCGAGGGAGGGAGGCGGACGAAATCGACATACGTAAGATGGACTACGGAACCTTAGGCTTTTTAAAGGTAAGTAGAGAAAAAGATTCCACCTAAGCCGTCCCTTTCCGATCTTTACGCGGACAGTTGCCTATGAGCTGTCTCGCTCGTAAGCCTCTCTGCATATGATATAAAACCCTAGCCCCAGACACGCTGAAATGCGTTATATATCCATTCTCCAGCCACTGCCCATCGGAGCAGCGACTACTCCTACCCTACCATAAGTCCATAACACGAGAAAAAACGGGAGCAAGTGAGAGCAAGAAGCGACGGCGGAGGAGCAAGCCAGCGTCGGATCCATGGAGCTGGAGGCCGCCCCGCAGCTCCCGAGGAGGGACGCCAGGAAGCTGGTGAGGTGCCCGAGGCTGCAGCTGGACGCCAAGACGGTCACGGCCGTCGAGCAGTCCACGGGCACGCCCGTCGCCGACGCGGCGGCCACCAGCCATGGAGGCGCGACGCGCGTCAAGATCTTGCTGAGCAAGCAGCAGCTCAAGCAGGTGGCCGCGGCCGTCGCCGCCGGCGGCGCCTTCGCGCTGCCGCCCGCGCTGGAGCAGCTGGTGAGCGCCATCAAGAGGCAGCACGCGAAGAAGCAGACGGCGGCGGCGACCAACGCGGCTGCCGCGAGGCGCCCGGGACGGTGGTCGCCGGCGTTGTACAGCATCCCGGAGGATATCCACAGCTAGATAACCCGCCTAGCTTCGTGGTGTAGTCGGTTTGCATGTATAGCTTCGGTGGTCTCTCTCCATTTTTGTTGCCTCTTCGTCCTCAATTCTTGGGTTGCAACGTTGGGCCAAAGTGAAAGCGCGCCCAATGGATGCGTTGCGTTGCAACTTTGAAATGTCAGCAATTTTAATCTGACATTTTTTGGATCCAATTCGTTTCTCTCTGCTCAAGATCGATCGATGTACAAATTCGCTGGACGAATCAATGAAGAGAATGAGCTGGGGGAAATAAACAACGGAGCGTGCGAACCTGCGTGTCTCTTTCTTGCCTTGAATCTTGTCCAGCGCCAGGTAGCCACTGCGTGCGTGCGTGGGCAGGTGGAGCTCTTTGCCTGGAAATGCGAGCCAGCCCGGCCCTAAAAGATTCCTGTCCACCGGTACGACAAGATCTACTACTAGGCGAAAAGAGTTTACAGTTCATGGCCCAATGGGCGCAACAGTGGCAGATGATACTCGTCACATGCATGCCAGCGTCTAACCGGATTCGCTTCAGTGTTGATAAGGATGAGATCGAGTGTGGTTAATGTACGCGGGTCCAGTGGAACAACATCTTGACGCCGATAGTGGCTGCCGGATCAATGTCGTTCGGATAGGTGGTACTGGTACATAGTGGTGCGGTGGCGTTTGTTGTGGGCATACATACATGATCTTCGGTATCCTCACTCCTCAATAGCACTGACACCTTTGTTCGGTTTGTGGCCAGCCAGATCGATCCTCCGCCAAAGCGCAAGAAGTTAAAAGTAGACGGGCACACACAGCAAAAGCCGAACGTGAAGTGATGGCTTACAGTGAAAAGTATATGCGTGATAATTTGGTTTCAAATGTATACGCGTTGTGTGTCTACGTTATTGACAGTTAACTCTGCTTTAAACACTGTTTGCTCTGCTGTTATGTGGAAATACCAGAAAATTTAGAAAATCCATGGTATTTAACAGTGCACAATGGCTCTCTAGCAAAAAGGTTAGGTGGAATAGACTGAGGACTACTGGATAATTCTTTGAGTGAATTCCACTTTTTACCCCATAGTTGCGCATTTGTGACACTTATTGTCCCATTTATTGTGATATAAAATCAGAAATACACTATTAAATTTTTAACAAGGTTTTACCCAATTTTGGCATTCCACGAGTTCCATTAGAATAGCCTGGCGTGTTAGATCCATGTGGTGCGTCAAACTATGCAAATAGCAGAGGCCGTCATCGATGATAATGCCCATCCTTCTCTTCACCATCTTGTTGATTCCTCGTTGTTTTTCTGGTATTTTTGAGTCTCAATCACACGTCACACCTTTTCAAATGACATGCATAGGAAAAAGAGGGTCCAGACTTTTTTAAATGGGCAATCTAGACGATTTTTCATTTGATGGGGTAATTGGTGTCACAAATACATAACTAGAGAGTAACAAGTGGAATTCACTCTAATTCTGTCATTAGATCAATGCAGGCAGAAATTGGATCACTTTTCCAATTCTCATTCAAATTTTCTGAGGAAATCCTTGTTGATTTGTTCATGCTGAACATTTTCTCTCTTGCTTTCGGTTCCTCTCCTTCTGTAACCTGTGCTTGGGACAAAATTAGGATATCTAGGGTACATACATACATAGTGGTGCGGTGGCGCTTCTTGTGGGCATACAAACATACATACATGATCTTCCGTATCCTCGCTCCTCATTAGCACTGACACCTTTGTTTGGTTCGTGGCCAGCCAGATCGATCCTCCGGCAAAGGGGAAGAAGTTAAAAGCAGACGGACACACACAGCAAAAGCCGAACGTAAAGTGGTGGCTTACAGTGAAAAGTATATGCGTGATATTTGGTGTCAAGTGTATAAGCGTTGTGTGTCTACGTTATTGACAGTCAACTCTGCTTTAAACACTGTTTGCTCTCATGTTTTGTGAAATACGAGAAAATTTAGAAAATCCATGGTATTTAAGAGTGCACAATGGCTCTCTAGCAAAAAGGTTTGGTGGAATATACTGATGATTACTGGATAATTCTTTGAGTGAATTCCACATTTTACCCCATAGTTGTGCATTTGTGACACTTATTATCCCATTTACTGAAATAAAATCGGAAATACACTATATTAAAATTTTAACAAGGTTTTACCAAATTTTGGCATTCCGCATTTTCCATTAGAATAACCCGGTGTGCTAGATCCATGTGGTGCGTCAAAATATGCAAATAGCAGAGGGCGTCATCGATGATAATGCCCATCCTTCTCATCATCATCTGGTTGATTCCTCGTTGTTTTCCTGGTATTTTTGAGTCTCAATCATCACGTCACACCTTTCCAAATGAGATGCATCGGAAAAAGATGGTCCAGACTTTTTTAAATGGGTAATCTAGATGATTTTTCATTTGATGGGGTAATTAGTGTCACAAATAGATAACTAGAGAGTAAAAAGTGGAATTCACTCTAATTCTATCATTAGATCAATGCAGGCAGAAATTGAATCACTTTTCCAATTTTCATTCAAATTTTCCGAGGAAACCCCTATTGATTTGTTCATACTGAACATTTTCTCTCTTGCTTTGGGTTCCTCTCCTCCTGTAACCTGTAACCTGTGCTTGGGAAAAAATTAGGATATCTGGGGTACATACATACATAGTGGTGCGGTGGCGTTTGTTGTGGGCATACATACATGCTGGGAAACATAGCATGCAGTTTGTAACCTGGTTCTGATATTAACTTGTAACGCCTATGATGCGACTATATCTCTTATGTATTGAGGCACGACTTAGAGGCATAACAACATGTTGGTTTGTCGCAAGAAGGGTCAGCTTCACATAGTCCCATGTAATGAACAAGAAAGGGATAAATAGATAGTTGGCTTACAATCTCCACGTCACACAAACGAGCAAATAATTCATACATCATTCAGAGTACACACATAGTCCGACTACAGACGAATCCAAACGAAAAGAAGGTAACCCCAAATGCTAGATCCCCGATCGTCCCAACTGGGCACCACTACCGATCATCAGGAAACGAAACATAGTAACGACCAAGGTCCTCGTCGAACTCCCACTTGAGCTCGGTTGCGTCACCTGCACTGGTATCATTGGCACCTGCAACTGTTTGGTAGTATCTTTGAGTCATGAGGACACAACAATCTCAAAACCCGCGAGATCAAGACTATTTAAGCTTATGGGTAGGATGTGTTCATGGGGTGGAGTTGCAGCAAGCGCTAAGCAAATATGGTGACTAACATTCGAGTACAAGAGTAAGAAGAGAAACTACGCAACTGTCGTGAAACTAGAGACGATCAAGAAGTGATCCTGAACTACTTACGTTCAAACATAACCCAACCGTGTTCACTTCCCGGACTCTGCTGAAAAGAGACCATCATGGCTACACACGCGGTTGATGCATTTTAATTAAGTCGAGTGTCAAGTTCTCTACAATCGGATATTGACAAATTCCCATCTGCCACATAACCGCTGGCACGGCTCTCGAAAGTTTATACCCTGCAGGGTTGTCCCAACTTAGCCCATCACAAACTCTCATGATCAACGAAGGATATTCCTTCTCCCGGAACACACCGATCAGACTCGGAATCCCGGTTACAAGACATTTCGACAACGGTAAAACAAGACCAGCAAGACCACCCGATGTGTCGACAAATCCCGATAGGAGTCGCACGCATCTCGTTCTCAGGGCACACCGGATGGGCCAGGCGTCAGGTTGGCTGAGACCCTGGTTGCCCAGGGGGCGCCAGACATCGCCCAGGTTGGACAAGCACTCAGAGGAACACTAGCCCGGGGGGTTGAATAAAGATGATCCTTTGGTTAATTACTCCCTAGGAAAAAATATAGGTTGTTATTAAGCAAATGTTAAAACCAAGGTTGGGCCTTGCTGGAGGGGTTTTATTCAAAGCAAACTGTCAAGGGGGTCCCATAACCCCAACCGCGTAAGGAGCGCAAAATCAAAGAATATAACACCGGTATGACGGAAACTAGGGCGGCAAGAGTGGAACAAAACACCGAGCAAAAGGCAAAGCCTTCCACCCTTTGCCAAGTATATAGATGCATTAATTAAATAAGAGATATTGTGATATCCCAACATATCCATGTTTCAACATGGAATAACCTGCAAGGCACCTGCAACTAGCAACGGTATAAGAGGGGCTGAGCAAAAGCGGTAACATAGCTAAACAATGGTTTGCCAGGAAGGTGGGTTAGAGGCTTGACATGGCAATATGGGAGGCATGATAAAACAAGTGGTAGGTAGCGCGACATAGCGATAGAACAAACAACTTGCAAGAAAAGATAGAAGTGATATCGGGGGTAATGATCATCTTGCCTGCAAAGTTCTCAGAGTTGTCGAAAGCTTGCTCCTCGTTAACATACTCAACAGGTTCCTCGTTCACGAACTCGTCTCCCAGCTCTACCCAAAGCAAGAACACAAGCAATGGAACAACAATCAATCACTGTGCAATGCACAAGCAACATGATGCAAGACATGGCATGAAACGCAAGGTATGATGTGCAATGCATATGAGTACTCCGGAAGGGAACAGATGATCAAGGCATCAACTTGGCAAACCAAGCATGCCGCTGGAAAGATGGGGTGATTTCCGTCGAAATCGATATAAGGATCACCGGAAATAGATGCACGGTTTGCAAATGACGAGCAAAACAAGAATGATGCAAATCTGCACTTAACAGCAACATAGCACTTAAGATGCAACAAGAAACTATGCTACAGCACTCCAGCATAGCAACAAAGCACATGGCAGTGAAGTGCAAGTGAAGCTCTACAAATCATGAACACTGAGCTCCTTCTAGAACTCACTACAACAAGCCTAAAATAGCATGGCAAAAATGCAAATGATAACAACTTCACAGACTTAGTGAAAATACTAAACATGTCAAAAACATCATCAGGTAGCAATGTTTAGAGCTAGCAAATAACATGCTACAGGAACATATCATGGCAAATAAAGGCATGGCATGCTAG